TTATAGATATAGCTGTTGTTATTGTTGCTCAGTGCTGTCAAGTACAACCATAAAAATATGGCACAGAATAGTAAATGCATATTTTCAATATTAACATTTGATGGCGATGGTGTTCATATTATAATTCTGAGGATGTTTTTTGTATAAACAGATAATACACATATATAGTCATAAAATAGTCTTATTCTACCACCCTTTGGATCTTAAGAACCTTGGTTCTTATTTTGGAAGAAAGAAGATACAGATCTGTAGAAGAGATTATATGAAGAGTCTACTCTAATTGAATTGGAAGTATCATTATGAATTCATGTGATAGTATATTTTGAAATTGCTCTTTTAATGCAAGTCAATAAAGAGACCAAGATGTAATGAAAAATCAGATATCAATGAAAAATCCTAACAACCACATATGATCTTCAAATGCCATTTTTCAATAAAAGAAGCAGGAGAGCTTCTTGGAGAAATTCCTTTCCTTAAGCAGGAAACATATCTTGACATACCAGAAAATTAGGAAGCTATCAGAGATTACTAGTGTTATGCCAGAAAGACATTAACTTCAATGGAATCAAATTATAATTGGTTGATACCTATCAAATATGTTTAATTCCATGAATTCTTAAAATATTTATAAGATAACAAATTAGTCACATTTTGTGCATAAAAAGATCAATTCATTATCTGGAAAAACAGATATAAATGGAAAGAATTGAACATGTATCCTTCCTCTCCTATATGAATAAAATTACTAGGTGGCCAAACAATAAAGGCAAACACCAAACCCATTGCATCAAGTTAATTGTGATATAGAATGACCCTGTAGGATGGAGGAGCGATGTCCCATAGGGTTTCCAAGGTTATAAATTGTGATAGAAGCTAAGTGCCACCTTTTGCACCTGTGTGATAGCTGGTAGGTTCAAATTCTGTTTCAATTAATAGCCAAGTGCTTCAATTGCTGCACAGTCAGGACTCCTTAACAAATAATTCTTGGTATTAAGTGCTGAGGAGTCAGTTCCCACTCATAGAGACCCTATAAAGGGTTATAATGGAGTCCCGATGTGGCACTGTAGGATAAGTACTGGCCTGTTAACCACAAAGATAATGGTTTAATCCCACTAGCCATTTCTTGGAAACCCTATACAGGGTTGCTATGATTTGGAACCAACTCAATAGCAGTTAACAAAGACATTTTTAAAATATTCTCTTAACTCAAGTCAATAAACAGACCAAGATGTAATGAAAAATCAGGTACCAATGAGAAATCCTAGCAACCACATGTAATCTTGAAATGCCATTTTTTATTAAAAGAATCTGGAGAACTTCTTGGAAAATTTCTTAAGTACTTGTGAGTTGGTTTTGACTCATACTGACCCTGTTTAGGGTGCAGGGTTTCCAAGGAGCAACTAGTGAGTTTGAACTGCCAAAAGAAATAATAGATCCATTTTGGAAGAAGTGTAGCCAGAGTGCTCCTTGGAGGCCAAGATGGTCAAATTTCGTCTCTCATACTTTGGACATGTTGTCAGGAGGGACCAGTCAATGGAGAAGGGTATCATGCTTGGTAAGGTGGAGGGTCAGAGTAAAAGAGGAAGAACCCCAAAGAGATGGATTGGCCAAGTGGCAGCATCAATGGACTCAGGCATGGAAACAGTAGTGAGGTTGCTGAGCAAATAATACGAGAGGCTGGGTTCTATGAAGAAAAACGTGGCATCAGGATTGGAGGAAGACTCATTAACAACCTGCGATATGCAGATGATACAACCTTGATCGCTGAAAGTGAAGAGGACTTGAAACTTTTACTTATGAAGATTAAAGAGCACAGCCTTCGATATGGATTACATCTCAATGTCAAGAAAACAAAAATCCTCACCACTGGACCAATAAACAACATTCTTAACAATGGAGAAAAGATTGAAGTTGTCAAGGACTTCATTCTTCTTGGATCAACTATCAACACTCGCGTAAGTAGCAGTCAAGAGATCAGACGACGTATTGCACTGGGCAAATCTGCTGCACAGGAACTTTTTAAAGTGTTGAAGAGCAGAGATGTCAGCTTGAGGACTAGGGTGCGCCTGACCCAGGCCATTGTGTTTTCAATAGCCTCATATGGATGCGAAAGCTGGACAGTGAATAAGGAGTATTGTAGAAGAATTGATGCCTTTGAGTTGTGGTGTTGGAGGAGAATACTGAGGGTGCCATGGACTGCCAAAAGAACCAATAGATCTGTTTTGGAAGAAGTGCAGCCAGAATGCTCCTTGGAGGCCAGGATGGCTAAGCTTCGTCTCTCCTACTTTGGACATGTAGTCCGGAGGAAACAATCATTGGAGAAGGGTGTCATGTTTGGTAGGGTGGAGGGTCAGAGAAAAAGAGGAAGACCCCCAATGAGATGGATCGGCCAGGTGGCATCATTGATGGACTCAGGGGTGGCAGCGGTGGTGAGGTTGGCCCAGGATCGAGCATTGTTTCGTTCTGCTGTGCATGGGGTCGCTATGAGTCGGTTCCGACTCGATGGCACCTGACAACAACAACAAATGGGCCAGAACCCACTCGATGGCACTCAACAACAATAATATATATACTTTTTTGTTGTTTTGGAGTCCTGTTGTGGTGCTGTGGGCTAATGCACTGGACTGTGAGGTTGGTTTTGAACTGCAAGGTTGGAAGTTCAAGCTCACTAGCCGCTACTCAGAAGCCGTATACAGTTGCTATAAATCAGAACCAACTCAACAACAGCAATCCGTTGTTGTTCAAGCCGACTTTTCAGTACAGTGCATTAACAAATAATGCCACATCAGGACTCCAACAACAACAGTAGCAATACACACACACACACATATATCACACACACACACACACACACACACACACACACACACATATATATATATATGTATGTATTCATGGAGAGAAAGAGAATAAATATATATATAGAGAGAGAAGTTTATTATCAAGGAAAGAGCTTACAATCACAGATCCTCAGTGAAAGAGCGAGAGTCTATCCCACATGTCAATTTTATTGAGAGCAGGCAACACCCTTAAGGAAACATCCCTTCAACTGATTGGCTGTTCATAACCACTCACCACAGAGTGAACTATGCCTGTATTAGGTGTCATCACCATGGAAATAAACACATCCCAACTATTAAACCTCTGGAAATCCTGGCCTAGTCAAGTTGACACAAATCCCTAACCATTACAGAGGGGATTGCAATTATTGAGATGAAACAAAGTGTATGATTTCTTGAATGTAAGACTGATAATCTTGCCTGTAAACCTTCACTCAAGTCACAATAAAAATAAATCCTTACAACTAGACAAAGAAATAGCATCATGATAAATGAAGAAAAGATTAAAGTTATCAAAGACTTCATTGTGCTCAACACTCATGGAAGAAACAGTCAAGAAATTAAAGATGCAGCACATTAGGCAAATCTGCTGCAAAGACATATTTAAATTATTCAAGTACAAAGATACCGCTTTAAGAACTAAGGTACACCTGATTCAAACTATGTTATTTTCAATTGCCTCATATAATTGCCTCATGTAAATGGTGGGCAATGAATAAGGAAGACTGTAAGAGAATTGATACATTTGAGTTAACAGTGTTCAAGAAGGTACCATGGACTGCAGAAGAATCAACAAATCTGTTTTTATGATGGCAGTACTTTATCTCTCATACTTCTAAACTATTATCAGGAGGGACCAGTTACTGTAGAAGGACATTAGGCTTGGTAAAGTGGAGGGTCAAAGTGAAAACGGAAGACCCCCAGCAAGTTGGGTTGGCATAGTGGCAACAGCAACAGACTCCAGCATAACAACAATTGTGAGGTTGGCACAGGGCAGGGCAGTGTTTTGTTTTGTGTGCACAGGGTCACTATGAGTTGAAACCATTTTTTGTTGTCTACTAACAACAACAAAAATCTCGGTGCCACTCACCTATAGATTTCCCTACTGTTTTGGCTTGTGTGGTGCTATTGTGCTGGAAGCTATGCTACCACTATTTTAAATATCAATAGGTTATACATGTTGGACAGGTTTCAGTGGGTGGAACTTCTAGAATAAGACAGACTTGGAAGGAAAGGCAGACCACTTCTGAAAGGTTAGCTATTGAAAACCTTATGAATAGAAGGCAAATACTGTCTTTTTTTAACTAATTCCAGTTTTCTTAGATTCATACTTAGTACATTCTATTTTCTAATGTGTGTTTGCACCTCATTTTGAGTTGAGCTCAGTCAGAACAGAATATGGAGATCCTTAAAGTTTTATTCCATTCATATCACCATGGTCAACTCCACTGTGAGGAGGCAGCTCTTCCCCAGTAATATTTTGAATGTCTTCCACCCTGAAGATCTCATCTTCCAGCTTTATAGCTGATAGTATTCTGCAGCTATTCATAATGTTTTCATCTTCTGGTAGTGCATCTGACAGTGTTTTGCTGCTTTCCATGAGGTTTTCAGTGGCTACAGATTCAGAAGTTGTCTACTCTACTTTTTCCTAATTCATTTTAGTCTGGAAGCTCAGCTGCAACCTATCCACCATAGGTGAACCTGCTGATATTTAAAACTCCAGTGGTATAGCTTCTAGCATCACAGCAGCATGCAAGCCACAGATGACAAACTGACAGGCAAATGGTGGTATGATACTTTATTGTATTTTTGTTAGGTGCCATCGAGTCAGTACTGACCCATAGTGACCTTATTTATTCACAGCAGAACTAAACATTGCCCAATCCTGGGCCAACCTCACTACTGATGACAGTTTAGGATGGTGTAAATATTTTATTCACCTTAAAGCTGTTGATTGTTATTACATGGTGGACACATCATGTGACTTTACACTTGTTCATTAAAAGATTTTAAGTAGATATAAAAAATCAGGCTTACAACAAAAGTCTGTTGCCAACTGGCTGAATGTTGGTGCATGATTAAACAAATGTCTGCCATTCTCTGGATGCCAATCTTTACCTGGCACTTTTAAATTAGCCACATTTCACACTGTTTTCCCAGAAAGTGGGCTGTGACAAAGAAATTGGCTCTAACAAGGTTGAAGATAAGTGTGGAGTCTGTGGAGGAGATAATTCCCATTGTCGAACTGTGAAGGGGACATTTACCAGAACTCCAAGGAAGCTTGGTAAGATGAGTTTTCTATACACTTAGTATATTTCTTAGACTTTGTACTTTTGGGAAGCACTATTTTTTAGAATGCATCAATTTTTAATAAACATAACAAAATATTATCATATGATTTCTTTTTAGCGAATTATTTATTTTTATTTTTTAAGTAACTATTAATATCATTCTGACTCTATTCATACTCAGTAGCATCTATGATGAAAAATGGCTACTTGAAAGAACAAATAAAATAATTAATTGTGGTAGTAAGATAATATTTATTTGACTTACAGTTTTATTAATATGCACTAGATATAATTATTAGAATTGATACTATTTTGAGTTTTAATTTGCACATAAATGGAGAATCAAAAGTTAAAGTCACAAAATATTAGACATACAATCTTTTAAATGTTGCATCAGTTAGCCTATTTTATTATTTAACTTTGTCATTTTTTTTTTTGCCTTCCCCATTACCCAAGTTAATATGCATCTACCCTCTAGTTAATGATTTGCTTCCCTTCCCCTCCCATCCCTGTTGTTGTTGTTGTTGTTAAGTGCCTTAGAGTCAATTTTGACTCATAGTGACCCTGTATAGTTTCCAAGGCTGAAATCTTTACGGGAACAGAAAGCCGCATGTTTGTCATGGAGCAGCTGGTGGACTGAGACCACCAATCTTGTGGTTCACAGTTCAGAGCTTATCCTCCAGAGCTACTTGTAGAATGTAGTATGAAATATAGTGTGAATATAATTTCTTGACTTTCTATATGAGTGGTCTCTTAGCATATGTTGTTAAGTGCTGGCGAGTCGCTTCCGACTCATAATAACCCTGTGTAGGGTTTCTAAGAAACGACTGATGCTTTTAAACTGCTGACTTTACAGTTCAAATTGCTTGAGATCCAGTGCTTATCCTACACCACCATATCATATCAGAAGGCTTTAAATATTCATGGAAAAATGGAATTAAAAGATAATGGAATTTTCCCAGAAACTTTCTAAGTCCCTTGTAGTCATTCGTTTGTTATTGATTAATTTAATTCAGTGTCTTTTATTTTAAAAGTGAACAAGTCTATCATATCTGTAAATTGAAGATACGTGTTTTACATAGCTTTAAAAATTATATTAAAATTTGAGCTATAACCAAAAATAACCTGAGATTTAATTGCTTATAAAACCCAGGTGGTACAGTGGTTAATTAAGTGCCTGGGTGATTACTAAAAAGTTGGCAGTTGAAACCCACCTGTGTCTCCGTGGGAGAAAGGCGTGGAGATGTTTCCATAAACACTTACAGCCTTGGCGATCCTAGGGGGCGCTCAGTCCTATATGGTTATTATGAGTTAGATTATCTCAAAGTCAAAGCCTTTTTGCTTGTTCTTGAATAATTGCTTATGTGAGTGAACTTTTATTATTATTTTTGTGAATTAACTGATAGTTTACATGGGAGTACATCAGTTTTACACTCATCCCATCGTGTTTCATTTCATTGCAATGATTACAATCCTCTCCATGCATCATCATTCAAGAGTATTTGCTTCTATTCCCCCTGTTGTTGTTTTTTTATTTTTTGATGTACACCAAAACAGTGAGTGAACTTCTATTCTTGTTTCCTATTAAATGACCTAGACTTAGGGAGATACTCATCAGGTGAAGCAAATAATATCCTCACACAACATATAATATGCAAAGTTCCATATTTTCATAATTAATCATTCAAATTGTCATGAAGATTTGGATGCATACATTCATTAACAAATAATTTTTCCAATTTGCAATCAATATTATTAAGTGATTGAATCATTATTTATTGGGGAAATGTTTTTGGCATTCAACATTTAAAAATAATTTGATGTGGTGCCTCCTTCTAGAAGCTTCTGTTATGTTTTCTAAAGCATTGTCAGAACAGTTTCTAATAGAATGACAGAAAAACAATAAATGAAAAACAAAGAAAAGAAGTCTGGGTTACTTTAAGCATATTGTTGAGATAATAATGTTTCCTTTTAGAATAAAAAGGAAGTATAAAAATACCTAGTTTTTATCCAAGTAATTTTCTTAATTCTTTCTACTGCCATTTTACCCCAACTGTCCAACTTACACCAATTGCAGACACATCAGCTTTACTGTATTTACAATAGCAGAGTTAAAGGACTCTATTCCAATATGTCTTTAGATACTCCCTAGTTACTGATGTCTTTGCTATGCCTATGTGATCATTTCTACTACGTCTTATACCTTGCAAATTGTTTTAAAACATATTTTAGAAAGCAAATATTTACATTCAGGTTGATAATAATAGTTTAATAAAGCAAATAAAACTAGAATTATATGCATTATATTATGATTTTGGCAGAGGTGAATGTATGTTTCTTCATCTGATTTTGAAATCATTTGCTATACTTTCTTTGTTGGAATTGCATCTTAATTATTTTCTTTTGAGTGAGAAACAATTTATTTTGATTTATTTCCAAATCGAATTAGTATAAGGAAAAAGCTAATTGCTACAATCATTTTTTCTGTACTATGTGTAATATGAGATTGTGGCATTGTTTTTCAGATCCCTCCAAAATTATGCTAATCCTGTGACTCAAAGATCAGAAGAAGTGGAGATAGCTTCTATCAGTCATACAGCTCCAGGCTGTTTAAAGTTAACCTAACATCCACTTCTTGGCAATAATGTCATCACAGTTATTCAATAGACTAATTAACCTTTTCCAACAGGAAAACAATTAAGCAAGAGGTGCCAAAAAGAATTCAAGTTGCTGGAAAATGAAATCTGCAAGTATTCAACTTCCAATAACATACATCATTTTGAATTCATGCTTAGTCTTACTTTCATTGACTATTAATAGTTTATTGGTATTAGCTATGATGATGCTAAGCACTTGACTGCTAAATGAAAGGTCAGCAGCTCAAACCCACTGGCCTATCCAATAAAAACTGAAGCTATCTACTTCTGTAAATATTTACAGGCTAAACTAAGGAGCAGTTCTACTCTGTCCTACAGGGTCACTAGGAATGGACTTGATGACCGTGGGTTTAGCTATTGTAATTGCATTTTTGTTTCAACATAAGAAAATGACAGAGTATATTTTATATCTTACCTTAATAAAATATCTATGACTTATAATATAGTCAATGAAACAACAAGACTTTGGTAAACATGAAACCTCCACTAACTAAAGACATTCTATTTAAGGGAAGACAAGAGGCGCTTTCACTTTACCCAAAGGAGCTCGCAATATTTCTCTTGCTGAAACAAGGGAAGCTAAAAATGTACTGGGTAAGTTGTAATAAAATGCAGAAAGACGGGCATCCATAAATGGCATCAAGCTGTTTTGCTGTACTTGGCAACAAGCATGTTACTTCTAACCATTGCATAGTCAGGCAAACATGGTGCATTTCATGTGTTGCACTTTCCCCCAGGTTAAAGTACTGACAACCATGGTGCCCAAATTTCTACACCAGTTAGCTAAAACAGTAATAAACATTATGAAAAAGTTAGATAAATCCATTCTTAGTTAAGTACAAAGAACAGATACTTTCCTTTTTCTGATTTTCATCAGGAATATATATATATAAATATATAAATAGATATATAGATTAGATAGATAGATAGA